ACGTTTACACCAATAAACGAAGATAAAGATGACGATACCAAGGAAATTTTCTATGAACAGGTTGAACAAGCATATGAACGCTGTCCCCATCATGACATCAAAATCGTTGTTGGAGACTTCAATGCAAAGGTGGGTAAAGAAGGTATCTTTGGTGCTACTGTCGGAAAGTTCAGCCTTCACACGAAAACTTCTGATAATGGAAGAAGGCTGATTGATTTCGCCGCGGTTAGAAACATGGTGGTTAGTAGTACCAGATTCCAGCATCTCAACATACATAAGGCAACATGGCTGTCACCTGATCAAAACACAAGATCTCAAATTAATCACGTTGTGATAGACAGAAGGCATGCTTCCAGTGTGTTGGATGTACGTACTATCCCAGGAGCCAACATCGACTCGGATCATTACCTTATTGCAGCCAAGATCCGCACACGTTTATGTGCGATGAAAAAGGTACGTGAACAAGCACAGCGATAGCTAGACGTTGAAAAGCTGCAATCACAACAGACAGCTAATGACTTCGCTACTTGACTCTCCGAATATATGGAAAATTCATTTGAAGAAGCCGATATATGCGCGCAATGGAACCACATCTCCAACTCTATGCGTACCGCTGCAGAAGAGGTGATCGGCTATCACCGTATACAAAGAAACAGCTGGTACGACCAAGAGTGTCGCAATGCTACCGCAGAGAAAGACGCAGCATATCAAGCCACCCCTGCGTCAATTGCGACGCGCGCCTGTTAAAGAGCGATATCGGCAAAACAGAAGGGAAGAGAAACGTCTTTTCAGGCGAAAAAAGAAGGAAACAGAAAGACATGAGTACGAAGAGCTTGAGAAGCTGGGCGACAGGAATATGGCTCGAAAATTCTATCAAAAAATTAAAAGTCTGACAAATGGTTATAAACCCGGAGCTAATTCCTGCAAAGATGAAAACGGTAATCTGGTGATAGATGTCCAAAGCATGCTTAATATTTGGAGGGATCACTTCTCGAAACTACTAAATGGCGGTAGTAGCAATGTGACTGAAAGCGAAGATGATCCCGAATTTTCAATCGTTGACGATGAAATAGTCGTCCCGCCTCCCGATCATAATGAAGTTAAAACAGCTATAACGCGGCTCAAAAACAACAAAGCTGCAGGCGCCGATGGTTTACCGGCTGAGCTGTTTAACGCTGGTGGCGAAGAGCTATCTAAATGCATGCTACAGCTAATTCGCAACATTTGGTCGGATGAATGCATGCCCAACGATTGGAATTTAAGTGTGCTTTGCCCAATCCACAAAAAAGGTGATCCTGCAAACTGCGCCAACTACCGCGGGATCAGTCTTTTAAATATCGCATATAAGGTTCTATCAAACGTACTATGTGAAAGATTGAAGCCAATC